CTGAGCCGGTGAGATTTGAACAGCCGAACTGCAGAATTGCAGTCAGCTGAAGTAGCCTGCAGTACTGCACTCTAACCACTGCGCCACCTCGGCTCATAGGTTGAATTGGCATTCTGTCCACCTATCAAGTCCTTCCCAAGGATCTGTGGATATTGTCTTGAGATATGGAATGTTCCTGCCATTTCAAGCAGCAATCAATGGGCCGTTATCCTGTCTACAAATCAGACAGTGGCTTTTCATGTTTGTCTTGATTTAATTCAGCTAGGAAATCTGTTACTATGGGGAGGGATTTATAATTTCAGGAAGCTGGCCTTTCAAATATAGCCTCTTTTATCCAGCTTTTCATAGCAGGTCTTTTTTGGGGGGGGAATAACATGGCTAACAAGAATGCTTACTCCTCATCCCGCTGAAAATTCTCAACAGTAACCCCAATTATTGTGAAGAAATAAATGTGTGTTTTTTTTTAAATTGTGTAGCCATACAGCCACTTTCCTTAAAGTTATTCAAAGACTCTTATATGCAATGAAACATCTAATTTGGCTTTACCATCATGATATAAATGCAACAAAACAAACAATGGAATGTATATACAGCATATGCTTAGAAATAAGCAACTAAGGTAGAAGTTGTATAAAATATAAAGAGATGGTAGAGAATCAAACAATACGTTATAAATTTCAGCAAGAAACAATGCTTTAAAACTTACTATAAACTTTCACCTCATAATGTTTTAATGTTTCCCCTGCTTCATTTGTAGCTATACAAGTATATCTACCAGTATTGTCCTCCTGGGCATTCAGAATCTGTAAAGTTCGACCACCTACAGAAAAGGATAAAAGTCACGTTAAGTTTTCCCCAATTCCCTTTGTTTATTTTCTTCTGAATTGAGCAGGAACTGGGTGAATTTAACCATTGTCCCATTGAAAGAAAGAACGCCAATTATTCTGATTTCAGAACATGTTAAAACTGGAGTTTAGGAAAGAACTCTAGAAAGAAGCAGAAATAAAATGCCTTTTGAAATTCTAATGCTGGATCATCGGCATTCTAATTATGCCAAAAACTGAAAGAAGTTGAAAGGCCCTTCCAAGTTACGTATTCCTTGTTCCCTCCCTGTGATATGCAAGTGAACTCTATCACTTCACACAGAAAAGTAAGTTTTTCAAGCCATTGTTACTCTGGTTAATAGTAGGAGACAAAACCTAAGATCTGGTACATTATTAACAGGGGTGGGTTTCAACCGGTTCGCGGCGGTCCCTGCGAACCGGTTGGTCGGCGAACCTGGAAGTAAGTAACTTCCGGGAACGGCGAAGGGTGCACCAGCCCGCCCGCGCTTCTTACCCGATTTTGATGAGTTCTGCGCTTCCACGCATGCGCAGGAGCATCGCACAGACGCTAGTACGCATTCGTGCATTGCGCGCGTGCACGAGGACG